CCTCCATTATAGTCTTATTCATGACATAAAATTAAAACGAACATAGACCGGTGATTTCTGGTGATAACATATACAAACTTATATTCACGAATATTCGCCCGTTGGTTTAGACGACAAATATGGGCATACGGGAGAAATAACTGTGTTTTCTTTGTAAAATGAGGAAAGCGGGTTAATAATTTTCTTCACAATACTCTACTAAATTTGAGGCAATTACTGAAGTTAGTAAAACTTGGTAAGTCATCGCACTTGTTCTTGAACCTTACAACAAAATAACTCGGCAATGTCAGAGTCTTCCTTAACCTCACAAAAGAAACACTTAAGTCATACCGCTTTAAATACAAGTAAAATATTCCGAATCAATAGAAAACCAATTTTTAAAATCACCTTAGAAATAAACGAGCTTTCAAAAGGCAATATCTTAAGAGAAACTTTAAAGAATAATTTTCCATTAACTTTTCTGTCTAGTGTTAAAACAGAAAGGGAAGAAACGAGAATTGAGAACATATTGGAGTAATAAAAATTTTATCGACCGATTTTTCTCGGCTGATTTCTTGCTACTATTCACTTTAAAGGGAGGGTTTCCTACACACGTGGACGAAAGAATGTACTAAAAGAGTTATGGATGGAAAGGAAGTGCAGTTTAGCACCGAAAGCAAGAGCGTCATAAGAAACATAAGTGATACAAAATTTAAAGCTAAATTTAAAAACTAACATCAACACAGAACAGTGACTGCTGTAAAAAACATTGTTTCGTGCAACTGACATTCACTTCTTTTTCTACTTGAATTATATAAGAAAATAACTTGTTATAAACCGAATGACAATACAGTTTCCTGAATTTATCATGCTTTTGATTTCTTTATAATCGTTCGTTCTTTGCACAATACGCACAGCGAGAACGCATTATGGCTGGTCCGTTAGTTTGTCTAATCGATTCAACTTGAGATACACTTGATGGATTTAGATGAAATTTGATGTAGAGGTTGTGCTATTCTGTTTTTTGAATATCATACGAGCGGTGATAAAAATGACTGATGAGGAAAGTCTTGAGGTATACATTGAAGTACTGAGATCTGTTGGCCAAGGTAGGAAATATCGAACGAGGCAAATTTAATACCTTCAAAACCATATTGAAAAGAACGCATGAAGGGATATTATGCGTACTGCGGTAAGGAATAAGCTTTCCGAGCATATTCGTAAATTACTCTCATGAAGGGATAAAGTTCTAAAAATATAATAAATTAATTAATATTATAAGATCGCTGTTTTCTGGATTGTTGGGCAGCGTAGTATGGCACCACGTTTAAGAAGTTCCTGCTGCCTCCATCATCAAAGCGGAGTAATCGCCCTGATGATGGTAGCAACAAGGACCTCTGAACAGTTAGTAAACTTCTACCAGCCTACATGTCATAACAACCCAGAAGACAAACTCAAATTTCACAATTAATATTGACATTGGCAATTACATTTATTTCGTCTATTTTTGCTTACAATCTAGAGTCGGACATGAGTCCCTGGTCTTACTATCTGGTTTCTGGCTATATTTAAATTCACCTTATATTACGAGGCGCGTCCTCAAAGTAAGTTTCCCTGGGGCCGTTTACAGAAACAAAACACAATTTCATGGAAATATTTATTGCAACAGATACAGCAAGTGTCCAGCTATTTTTCAACATATTCGCCACCGGAATTGAGACATTTGTCATACCGTGGGACCAACTTTGGAATCCCTGT